CGACTCATCAGGAGGCTGAACCCTCGACAATCTGCGGAATCCCCGTATTCGATGGTTTGGGTCATGAACCCTTTGACCCATGTTGAAGGCAGACTCTGCTGACCATCCCACTGCTCTGCCTTTCCTCTCCTCCTCCTCCTCCTCCTCCTTTTGTTTTTTCTTTTGTCTTTTTTTGTTTGTTTAAAACTAGACCGAAAAAAAAAAAAAAACACAGCAAAAAAAAAAAAAACAGCAAAAAAAAAAAACAGGGCGCAAGCACGCTGCTCACGACGCGACGAATTTCGTTCTTGAGCACACACACACGCTTCTTCTTACGTACCCGCTTGCATCTGCGATTTGCCGCGATATCTTCATTTTCCTCGTGGAGCCATTATACAACTCTTCAAGAGAACACGCTAGCTTGTTCTCTACTGCCGCTGCCTTTCTTGTACTCGATGTCGACGGCCCGCCGGTCCGATCACCGAAGATATCTCCCGTCATTCCCTGAAACATCGTGTCGCCGAAGGGATTTACTCTGCTGCTGGAACTCCTCTGCCCTATTCCTCCCATCGCACCCATGTTCCCCATGCCGAAAGGGCTTCCGCCGCCAAACAACTCCGCGAAAATATCCTCCGGGTTCCTCGGATTGAAACGAAATACATTGGGGCCACCTCCATTGCTGAATCCCCCACCTGCTGGAAACCCACCTCCACCTCCACCTCCGCTACCGGGGGGAGGTACCCCACCTTTCAGCCCTTCTTCTCCATACTGATCGTAAATGGCTCGCTTCTGAGGATCGCTGAGCACCTGTGTCGACAGCAGACGTTCATTCAATTCATTTCATTATGTGAGCAATCCAGCAGCGAGGAGGAGGACAAGCAGGACGGGACCAGACGCACACAGAGGGGGACAGACGATCGATCAGCATCCAAAAACAAAAAACAAAAAAAAGGGGGAGGGTAATTTAGTAAAAACAAAACAGCCAAGTAGTCCTCACGTAAAACGACCGCACACAGCACCGACCAGCAAAAGAGGGGGGGGTGTGGGGGGGAAGATACGTCATCGACCCACAAATTTTGCACGGAAGAGCCAGCCACTCCCTTCATTGAGGAGACCGTAGCCCGTACGTACCACCACCGTCTCTACCTTTCACAACATGAATCAGACCCCCCCCGTCCTTGACGCTGCATCTGGACTGAAAACAGCTATGATGACCCGGCGTTCTATTCGGGGAAAGACCGTTCCGTTACGTAACTACCCACAACCTTTCTACCGAAAACACGGAGACCCTACACGTCAATCACTTTCTATTTCTCTTTACCACTAGGTCGACAGACGTCAATGGTACGGGGAGGTCTACCACCACCAGTTAGGTCATTAGATGACACTTGCTACTGTCTACTCCCAGTAGCCCATAAAGGGAGCCTTTTGCAGACAGAAACGGAGAAGAACGTGCTTTCACTTCTTTTCCACTCTCACCACGAGGCCAACAGATGATGGATGATACGGAGAACACGTATAACACTAGGGGAGGTAAAACACCACCTTACGTAAACCACCAGGTAACATCGTGTTGCATATGACACCAGTTCAAGCATAATACTTAATAAGGTAGTACAGACTATAATCCCAGGTCATTAGACGAGAGTCGATTCTTTATTACTCTCACAGTACAACACCAGGGACAGTATAACCAGGAAAGAGTACAAAAGCAGGGACAGTATAACCCCAGGGAAACAGGGACATCATTACATCAGGGAAAAAAAGAGTAACAGTCTGCAACACGAAATCTGCAACAGGGAAAAAAAAAAAAAAAAAAAAAAATACAGAAGCAGGGACAGTATAACCCCGGGGAAACAGGGACATCACTACATCAGGGGAAAAAACGAGTAAGTCTACAACAGCAAAGAGTACAAAAGCAGGGACAGTATGTCACCGGGAAAGCGTACAACGACGTAATCATCAGCTGGCACTTGATTGATTGATTCCCCACTACGCAATCCGGAGAGGTGAATTATAGATCAGCATAAGACATACATTCACAATCACAAAAAAAAAAAAAAAAACGCGCTGTCATGAACCCGTTCCCCCATCAGCACTACGTAGTACCGTCTTCCCCCACATAAACGCACGGTCATCGCAGCACTATTCGACGCAACCTCCAGACTAAAAAGATAGCGCGATGGTGCCCGTGCGCGTGACGACGGTAGGCGTGAGGAGTCTTGCTCGGTCTGTCATCTCGTCACGTAGAGTACCCACTCATCCACAACACCTAAATGAAGGGATATATAACACGACGAATTATCACAGACATTGCACACTGAATCCCTTCCCCCGCGAACAGACACGACCTCATCAGCCCCCAGAGGCACGTGCATAACACTAGAAAACTTCGAAAACACATATAACACTAGAAAATAGAACACTAGAAAACATCGAAAACACAACATTAGAAACGTCGAAAACACAACACTAGAAACTTCGAAAACACAACACTAGAAACTTCGAAAACACGACACTAGATACTTCGAAAACAAATAACACTAGAAACTTCGAAAACAAATGACACGAGAAAGAAACTTAAACAACACATGACATTAGAAACTTCGAAAACACATGACACTAGAAACTTCGAAAACACATGACACTAGAAACTTGGAAAACACACAAACACATGACGCTAGAAACTTGGAAAACACATATAAACACATGACACTAGAAACTTCGAAAACACAAGACATTAGAAACTTCGAAAACACATGACACTAGAAACTTCGAAAACACATAAAACTAGAAACTTGGAAAACACATGACATTAGAAACTTCGAAAACACATGACACTAGAAACTTCGAAAACACATGACACTAGAAACTTGGAAAACACATATAAACACATGACGCTAGAAATTTGGAAAACACATAAACACATGACACTAGAAACTCCGAAAACACATGACATTAGAAACTTCGAAAACACATGACACTAGAAACTTCGAAAACACATATAAAACTAGAAACTTGGAAAACACATATAACACTAGAAACTTCGAAAACACAAACATCCCGCGCGCACCGCAAAGAAAGGCAACAAACATTCTCCTGTCACACGTACCTATATAAACACCCGCGCGCCCCCTGGCGCAACCCCCAACGGGAAGCTGAGCGTTCATGAATGTGCATACTCACCGCATTTTCGTGGTTACCATTATGAGCGCGGAAGTTTCAAAATCGCAGATCGTGGAGAGCAGCGTTGTAAGAAATTTACATGTGCGAAAAATCAACGGTTGTCAATTAGCCGCCGATGCTAACCGCCAACAGCAGAGCGCCCAACCACATCAACATCCGCTGGTAGCAGGCGAAACAGCAGTTGTACTTCACATTCAGCAGTTGAGTTGTACCCTCACTCTCCGCACTTGTACTTCACTCTCGTCAAGGAATAGAGTACAAACGAGAGGCGAGGGAGGATTTGTACCCTCACTCTCCGCAGTTGTACTTCACACTCGTCAAGGAATAGAGTACAAACGAGAGGCGAGGGAGGATCGTGCCTATGCAGATTAGCAGTGCTAGATCTACCGTTCAATCTCAATCTCAAACTCCGTACTGACAAGATAAGTGCCGCAGGCACGAGAGTTCGCTCACATATCAACCCCCCCCCCTCCACACAACCACCCAGCCAATTTGCTTGCACCTACGTCTCAACATCATATACACGCATCATCACAAACTCCACATATCACCCAAATACTCAAACGGTTTGCCTTGGGACCACGCGCTTTTCAATTCACAGACTCCAAGCATCTCCATCCGCATGTCCTCCCCTCCGATCACATCACTCGCTCGCACTACGCTCTGCTTTGGCACACACAATCCGCTATTCAGTAGACAGAAGTACCCACTCCCATCCCGCACGTCCCCCTTCCCACCACTACCTTGTTTGGGACGAAGAACCCCCCCCCCCCCCCCCCCCACAATACCCCCCCCTAGCAACAGATCAAATCTCAGCCTTAATGACAGATCAAATCTCCACCTCCATTAAGACTACATTCACGCTATACTAAACCTACATAATTACTGTAATAATACGGTACTAAACTAAATCCAGCAATCAAAAAACAAACACAAAAAAAATCCAAACTCCTCGCGCCGGTCGGGCCATGGCAACCCCCCACGCACTTCACGTGCGCTCATCGAGATTACTGCAGTTACGCATATCAAAAAATCGCAAAAGGACAAAAAAAAGGTATGATGTGGATTCGTTTTCCGACATACTTAACACTTGCCCATACATTTTATTACGTCGTAGTTCCATTATCGCAAACAACATTATTCATTTGGGCTTTTTTACCTTTGACGTCCCCGGCCACAGTTTTTACCTTTGCCATCGTTTTTTTAACCAACATATCGTCAGAGCTTTTACAGGGTTCCCACCTTTCCAGTAGAAGCTGACGATTTCGGTTCAAAAGGCACAGATACTGCGGATACTGTCTTAACCCGAATAGAACGCCCGGTCAATATAGTTGTATTTGGCGGACCTTTCGGTCCAGATACAGATACAATGACCGGGCGTTCTATTCGGATGAAGACGGTAGGAACGTCGAAGTCGAATGCCCAAAGGGGTATCTGACATGATAACTAATATCGTACCGACCTCACCTAAAACAAAACTGCCCCGACAATAATTGATTGATTGATTGATTGATTGATTGCCCCCTGTCAACGAGCCACGACGCACAACCAAGCAAGACAAGCATCGGACACATTTTTCCACACATACTGTTTATTAGCGAAACCGCCAAAAGCCTGTTTCGAGAAACTTCCACCAGTTGTAAAAAATGCATATGCACATATATATAACACCATAATAACGCATATAAACATATTTACATATATAGTCAAACAGAACTGCCGACGGTAAACCGTAGGCAGAGAGGGAGAAAGAGGACAACAAACGAGCGACTGTGACAAACTGTTTCGTCGGAGTTTATACATAACATGAACATCGATCCCAGGGCAAGAGATGGGCAGCGTGGGAACAGAAAACGAGGAGCAAAGGAGCAAGGGAGGACTAAAAAGAACACAGCAGAGGGGCAAAGGTCCGTCCAAATTTACCCCGGAGTTTCCAATACTTTTGTCTAACTTCGGTTTCTGAAACGGACCTTACTTTATCTAGTGTTATCCCAATTTCTCTTTTTACTTTATCTAGATATATTTTACTTTATCTAGATATTTTACTTTATCTAGATATTTTACTTTTATCTAGATACTAAATTCACAGCGGGTTTCGAATAAAACGCATCGTAGGCATTCCATCGGCAGCACTCATCATGCCCGACCTTAGTCATCCCGTGATAATCAAACCCCTTAAATCACCCCACTACAACACACACCTACAGACGCAGGCGCGCGAGCACACACGACAACACACGCACAAACACATTCACACATACGCGCGCGCGCGCGCACGCACGAGGAGAGAGGCGGGGATAGCCCTCGATCATAGCAAAAACCGTACAAGTCAACTCCCTCGCAGGCGCATATTCCTCCCCCCTTCAACGAACTCGCTAAGCAAGATTACATCTCAACGAATTGACGCGCGGCAGGGGGGTGAAGCAATACGTGGAACGCGGAAGTTAAGGGGAGGTGGGCGGGGGAGGCGCGGGCTTAACCAATACCTGCTGCGCATGACTACACGTATTGTTATAGGAACCAACGTCTTAACCTGAATAGAACGCCCGGGCATTACAGCTGTATTCTGGGCCACCTTTCATTCCAGATGCAGCCGGAATGACAGGGCGTTCTTTTCGGCTGAAGACGGTAGCAAAGGCTGTTACGCGGGTTTCCGCCACTTGCTTTTGTTGATACATGAGACCGTTCGATGAAAGTCTCGCACAGAACGAAGAAGACAGAGACCGTTCGATGAAGATCTTGCATCGAACGAAGAAGACTGCGTTAGAAAAGAAGCACGGGGTAGACGAGAGAGCGAGAGAGAGAGATCAAGGGATGGAGGGGGCATGCATCTTTACCTCGTATGCTTCCGATATTTGCTTGAATTTGGCTTCTGCCGACGTCTTGTTATTCGGATTCTTGTCTGGATGCCATTTCATTGCCAGTTTCCGGTACGCTTTCTTAAGTTCATCGTCGCTAGCATTCTTCCCGACTTTTAACACGTCGTAATAATCCACCCCCATGTCCGCTTAGCCACACAAGCGTCACCGTTGTACTTGAAGGACACGCGCACACAGAAGAGGAAGCGCTCAACAACAACTTCAGGCGGTCACAAAACTCTTCCCTGACCTCTTGCTTCCCTTCCGCTGTGCTCCTCAACCCACCACCCTCGCCCTCCGTCCAGCTGTCCCTTCGCCGCCGACAGGTGAAAATTTTCCTCCGTCCACCAAATCCTCACCCACCCAATTCTCTCTCCCTCTGCTTCCTCTCTCTCTCCTCTGCCTCGCCTGCCCTTCTCCCCCAAGCCCACGAAACGTTCCCCCCTCCCCTCCTCCTCTCTCTCTCTCTCTCTCTCTCTCTCTCTCTCTCTCTCTCACACACACACACACACACAAAAAAAAAAAAAAAAAAACCAAGCACGCACAGACGCTCACAAGCTGTTCCTCCCCACCTTCGCCGTTACGGTAGCGCGCTTCTCCTCTCCTTCGCTGATGACGTACGGGCCTGGGGGGACGTCTTGCCTGACCCCCAGGCTCCTCCTTTCCGCGCGACAGAGCGCGCCAACAACGCTGCTCCGGCAGATCGGAGAGTCGAGGCTCCAACCCGAATCTCCAGTCTACGGATCTCGATAGACAGATTGCTCGACTAATTACCTAATCACGTTCGGCAACACGTGCATCGCGCGACCCCGTCGTGGCGCTACAACTACTTGTTCCTCTCTATGGCGAGCGCCCCAGACCACACTTTTTCAAATAGGTTTACCTGATGGAGACACAATTAATACGCAGGCCATGCGCAGCTGCACTGTGCAATTAGCAATTGCTGCATCGCTCTCCTAGTGCACTCTCGAACTCGCCGGAGAGAGTCGGATCCCCGTGGGCCTACCGCGCAGGAGGAGCAAACGTCGAGTCGAGTAGCCGACTCGCGCCGAGAGCACAGAGAGAACAGAGCCACGCCCTACGCCGTCCTCCCTCCCCGCTTGCGTCCCTGTACTGCGGCTGGCATTACCCTCTCGGCACTGTAGTAGCGCTGGCACGATCGATCACCTTGTGTTATTCACATCTGGAAGCACCGAAACCCGTCTGGAAGCGCCTGTCCGCGCACACGCGGCAGCGAATGGCTTGGCGTTGCATGTCAAGCCACTGCACCGCACGGCATAGCACAGGACATAGCGTGGTAACTGTTCGGTCTAAAAACCTAAAAAGGACAAAAGAGAGCCCCTCTTCACAAGATAGGCTAGAAGGTCCACTCGCGCTACCAATTCAGCAGACTCCAAACCCGCACAATGGTTTTCCATGGAAATGGTTGGGAGAGTCCACCCGTGCAATGGGTTCCTTGGAAAAGGTTCGGAAAGTTTTCCTTGGAAATGGTTGGGAGAGTCCACCCGCAAATGGTTGGGAGAGGCCAGGCGGTCGCCTGCGAAGCCCGTCTCCTGTCAGCTACCACCCACCGGCGACCGCACCTCACCTACCACGCAACTGCCACACACCAACCCGTCCTACCCCGTAGTGTTTCCACAACGCGCCCGCTGTCCAGGAACGACCACGGGCCCGACAACGTCCAACAAAAAAATGAAAAAAAAGATTTTTTATCGGGAACTGGGAATCGACGTCGAGCCTCTTGCAACCCCCGAAAAGTTTGGGTACTGGCCAAGACATCGTAATTTCCCAACACTAGACGAGGTACTGGTGGTTTAATAGAAACCAATTGAACATCCGCAAATTCCATTCGAGGTCGGGGACCTCACAATTCAACCTGGGGTTATCCCGGCAGCCTTAGCCGGTTTAGCTTATAGCCATCAGGTCTGAAAACGATTGTGATCTCTCACTTTCTCTTCAAAATAAGACCTTCCCCTGATTGCCTACTTGTCACATTACAGAAACAGCACACCCTCCGATCTACTCTTCACATCCCTTCTATTGATCCCGCCTATGGAAAGGGTATTACTCTACTACAAAACTGCCATTGCTTCTACCTACCCTAACTACTCCTACCTGTTTTCTAACCTATTACACAAACCTACAACTAACGGTCTGACCCCAGCCTATTGTCGACCGAGCGGAACCCCGGTTCCTTTCCTACCCTCAGGCACCCTCCACCCTACCCTTCCCTTTACGACCTCCTGCGGCCGCCGATTGGAACCAAGTGCCCTGGTTCCTACTCCTACCCACAACCTATTTCCTTATTTATGCCAATCAGCTCAGCCCCACAGCCATGGGCCAAAAATCGGGCCTCAGGACCGATGCACCCCTACTAACTGGTTATTCACCGCCCAGGACTTCAAGAACCACCAACGAGTCGAACGACTGCCTTTGCCTTTCTTGACCTTTCTCTGCCAGTCGACAGCAATCGCTTGTCGTAGACCTTTCTTCACTGCTCTTTTAATCTCACTGTCTGAGAACGGTCTCTTCTCAAATCTCAAGCGGTTGCGATCTGCCCATATTACTGAGCAAATCACCGCACTTGCCACTTGTGCTACATACGGTCATCCCCTCTGGTTTGTGGACTCTTGCGGAACAAATCCTAGCAGCACCCACTTTTTACTTCACTCGATCTCCCTTCCTCCCTTCAGGTGCCAATGAGATTCCCACCAGCGCCATATATGCTTCGACGCTGGGCATTCCCACCACATGTAACGCGTCGATTCGAACGGCCAAGTACAGCGAGTGCACCCCAGGCTTACTTCTACTCCCCTCCCACATAACCAAATTGCCGAAGGGGTGACTGTCAGCGATAACATCCACAATATGCCGACATGTTTCACATTGGGCAGATCTCCCAGCACCTTTCACAACTTTTCAAAGTCATTAGCTGCTCCTTGGAGGTCCTCCATCAGTATTGTTCCCCACCTTGCAATCGTCACAGATGTTGGTGTCCTCCGCTGTTTGGTTGCTAATCTATACGATTTCTTTAAAGTGAAGGTCGCTAAGTTGAATCCTTGAGGGTGTGCTCTTGAAACCCTGGCTTCAGGCCAACTCCAAACTATTGGATCGATGGGTAGGTTGCTCAAAGAGGTCTGGCCTACCCACTCAGTTTCCATCACCCTCCCATGTCCATCCTACCTCTGCACCACCCGGATCTGAGCCGAGTTATCCTAGAATTGAATTACCCTCTTCGTTCCCTCCCGCAGCCTCCCGTTGGTGATAGACACCGTCCACTCCTGCACTTCCCTAAACCCACTTTTCGTCAGACCCTGCAATTTTCAAACTGTGGATGGGACTGATGGCTCCGTTGGGACATACCATGTGCCCATCGGGTCAAGGCCCTCTGGGCCCAATAGATCCAGCCATGCTCTTGGAACTGTCTGCTTCAGTTATGTCGTATTGGTTTTCACATTCCGTAGGCCCCGTAGCTTCGCCTGTACTTCACTCCTTGGTCTCCACGCCCCCAGGAGAGGATCCCACAGATCTGCAATTGTAGATACCCCTCGCTGAACCCATATTCTTCCGAATGCGCCTGACGTTAAGTCTGCCGAAAATGCATTCCCTTTAGGATCTTTGAGCAAGGGGTTTTCAAATAGACACTGCCTCAGCACCTCCTCCCTCGTTTTTGGGGGCGTTCTCCTTTCTGGGGGGTGGTCGACCCAGGCCCTATGCACGGCCTCCCATAATTATGATTTCAGTTTGCGCTTGACAAAGAATCTGATGAAAAAACAGACCCATACATCGCTTGGCCTACTCAATTGCCATTCGTTCATCAACAGTCTTTCCCCCAACATTATCTAACCATCCCTTTGTTCCGCCATTGCCACTCTTGCTAGCCATGATCTTAATTGTGCTAGGTTCTTGCAGTGCGGGTCGGTTAGTCCCAACCCCCCTTGCTCCCTGTCCTGTGCTACCAGGTCCCACGCAACTTTGACCAAGAAGCCTTCTGCTTCCTTGGCTCGTGGCTTCCAGAGCAACCTTGTGGCTAACCTTTTGATTCCTGTCATCGCTGGACCTGCAATCTCCCTTATCAACCCCATGAACCACATCAGTGAGAAAAGGGTCATATTGATGGCCAGGGTCCGACCGAAGAGCGATAGGTGTCAAGCAAATCCCAAAAACCTGAGCTTTGTAGCGATTCTTTGCTACAGTAGCACCCCTTGTGCTGAACTCATCAGTTGCAAACTGATGAGAACGCCCAAAAACCGTTCCCCTTCCGCCAAATCCACCCTGTGCATCCCCCATTCCACCGCTAGTGAGAAACCTTCCGGGAGGATGTACGAAGATTTGTTCCAATTTACTTGTGCCTCCGATAGCAGCGAATAGTCCTCCAGCACATCCTTTACCGTCCCTAGTGACGCTGGGGTGTTCTCTGATACCAAAAACAGGTCGTCAGCAAACGCCTTTGCCCTGCATTCCCTCGTTCCTACCAACGGTATCCCTCTTATCACTGGATGTTTCCGGATGCAGTTCAGAGGAACTTCCAACTGCAACACAAAGAGCAGCGGGGCCAGTGGACACCCTTGTCGTAGCGACCTGGTGAGTTGGAACGGATGGGAGAGGTGACCGTTGACTTCCATCGAAGAGGTAGCTTCTGTGTACATTACTATAATCCACCTGCTGAATCCATCCCCAACCTCATCTTCCGCAACGTCGTCAACACGAATGACCAGCCCACCCAGTCGTAGGCCTTTTTTAGGTCCAGCAGGAGGACAACCATATCACTTTTCTCTAAACGTACCACTTCCACTGATTCAATCGCTGTTAAAATATTGAGGAAGATAGAGCGGCCTTGAACAAAAGCCCCCCGGTCTCGTTCCACTAGCCTCGGCAGGATCCTTCCCAGTCGCATCACCATCGTTTTTGCCAAAATCTTGTAATCTACATTCAGCAAGGAGATCGGCCGATAGTTCCTCATGTTTGCCTTATCCCCTTTTTTGAACATCAGCGAAATGACTCCGTGTGTCATAGCCTCCCCCAACTTGTCCCTGTTAAAACCCTGTTATAGACGTCCACCAACACCGGCCCTAAACCCTCCCAGCAACAGCGGAAGAACTCCACTGTCAGCCCGTTCCTCCCTGGCGATTTGCCAGCTGCCATTACTTTGAGCGTTTGCGCTAGCTCTTCCATTATTACTGGTTTGTCAAAGTCGTGTCTTTCTTGTGGTGACAATACTACCAATATTTCCTCTGGCCTAGCGGCGACAGGTGTTCCTGCGTCAAATGGATGATTGAGCTCCACCACCTGTTGATGTGTGGCGCTGGGCAGTAGCTTCCGGAATGTTTCCTTCGTCGGTCTGTCATGTACCATGACTCCTTTGATCTTAAGTGTCTCTTCCCAATGCGCCTGTTTATCGACCTGCAGCTTCTCTCACTCAAATAATCTGCACGCCCTCTCTGCTGCCCAGGTGTATTCCGATATCAGGTGCTGCTCCATTCTCCACTCTACCTCTTCTACCAACTGCCTGCACTGTTCCTCTTGCTTGTTCCTATCCTTGGCAAGGATCCGCGAAACCACACTCATCATACCGGAGATCGTTGCCAGTCCGCCATCTAGCCACTCAACAACGGTTGAAAATTGTTTTTTTGTCAATTCCCATGCCTGCATATGTTCCATCACCCATTCCTTGATCCCTGGTTCCTCCAAGTTCAGTGAATTCAGTTTAAAGAAACCCTTTCCCCTCTCCCCAAGGGCGCTCACCACTAAGTCTGCGATCACAACTTTGTGGTCTGAGCACGGTTGACTCTGGTGTTTGACTGTTGTCACCTGCTGCAGCAACGAACTCGAAATTAGGAAATAGTATAACCGACGCCTAGTCACCTCAACTCTGTCTCTTCTGGCATTTGCGTACCAGGTGTAGCCCTTCAAGTCCGGATTTAAGGACCGAAACGGGTCCCCCAACTCCCGCACTTGCATAAAGTCCTGCAGGATCTGTGCATCTTTCCTGCCTGCCGTTCTAGAACCTCCCATGCGTCAAGCAAAATCTGTGCATCTTTCCTACCTGCCATTCTAGAACCTCTCACGCGTCAAGGGACACATTGCAATCTCCCGTCAAGATCACATGGTTCGCTCGC